AGTGCTGGGATTACAGGCTTGAGCCACCGCGCCCGGCCAAATGTTGTGATTTTTAAAAAAAATCTCAAGTAATGGAAGAGCCATGACTTTTAAATTTATATTAGATTTACTTTTGCCCTCGTCTTTTAAGTTGGTTTCTTTTAACCTTTTGTCTCTTTTTGATTCTTTTCTCCCTTAATTATTCTTTAATTAAGTATCCTGAATTAAATAAGAAGGAGCAAAATTACAGTAATAACTGCTTCTGGCCTTAATGTTGGGCTAGGATAGTTTGTTGGATAAGTCAGGGATGCCTTTAAAAATACCTGTTCTTGACTGGGTGCAGTGGCTCACACCTATATTCCCAGCACGTTGAGAGGTGGCCAAGGTGAGAAGATTATTTGCTCCCAAGAGTTAAAGACCAGCCTGAGCAACATAATGAGACCCTGTCTCTAAAAATAAAAATAAAAAAAATTAGCCAGGTGTGGTGGCTCATGCCTGTAGTCATAACTGCTCAAGAGGCTGAGGCAGGAGGATCACTTGAGCCCAGGAAGTTGAGGCTGCAGTGTGCTGTGACTGCATCACTGCACTCCAGCTTGGGCCACAGAGCGAGACCCTATCTCAAAAAAACAAACAAAAAAACCAATTCTTTTTAAATTATGTTCATCTTGCTTTATCTAGAGCTGCATTGTTTAAAACAGTAGTCACGAGCCATGTGTGACTAAATTTAAATAATTAAAATGGAATGTAATTAAAAATTAAGTTCCTCATTTATACTAGGCACATTTCAAGTGCTCAGTAGCCACATGTGGCTAATGACTACTGTATTGGTTAGCACAGACACAAAAAATTTCCATTATCACAGAAAGTTCTATTGGAGAGAACTGGTATTGAAACTGAGCCTTCACCTATATCAAATGCTTGTGCCTCGGCAATGTTCTGGGCTATATTTGATGCTGGGTCCTTGGGTTCCAGTTTTTTTTTTTCTTCATGAAGAAGCAAGGAGTAGTTTATTAAAGGAAGCTTATTTAAAAATAATCATTATGCTGTGGATCTTGGTAGAAAGGGCAAAGCTTGCAGAGATGACTGTGGGCCTGTCAACACATAATTACTTCTCTGCTTGACAGTGAGGGAGGTCAGTGGGATGTTTGTGGTTCTCTACCCTCCTGTCTTGCAGCTATTTCTTCAACACTACTTTATTGACTCCTCGTCAGTTGAGGAGGGGAAGCTTTAAACATAAAAATGTTTACTGAGGGCAATAGCTACTAATAAGCGATGTGAAATATGTCTTTGAACCTAAAATAGTCTGGTAATTATCTCAATTTTATCATTGTATTGGGAAATTGCATCATTGTAGGCTATTCTAAGTATCGCTTTTGCTTTTTCAAAAATAGTATGATATTTCCTTTTAGGGTGAGAAGATTTTTTATTTAATAAAGCCAACAGATGAAAATTTGGCACGTTATGAATCTTGGAGTTCATCTGTGACCCAGAGTGAGGTGTTCTTTGGGGATAAGGTGGATAAATGCTACAAATGTGTGGTAAAGCAGGGACATACCTTATTTGTTCCTACAGGTAAGGTTTTCATCTCACCCCCTACTCACCATGAATGATAGTCACATGGAGTTGGCTTTTAATTAGAACCTTTGGCTTTAACATGTTTGGAAAGTAATTTTTATGACATTTGTTAATAAATAATTCTGATCTTGGACATTTTACTTTTTGTTCCTTAGAGAATTTCTTTTATAGTTAGGACTTCTTTTGGCATTGTATTTATGTCATTTGCCTCCATTTTTATTTTTATTGAGATAAAATTCACATACCATAATATTCACCCTTCTAAAATATACAACTCAGTGGTTTTTAGTAGATTAATAAAGTTGGGCAGACATCACCACTATCTAATTCTAGAACATTTTCATTGTCTCAGAAAGAAACCCTGAACTCTTCAGCAGTCACTCCCCATTCCTGCCTCCCCTCAGCCTCTGACAGCCACGAATGTACCTTCTGTCTCTGTGGATTTGCCTCTTCTGGATTCTTTATGTAGATGGAATCATACGACATGCGGGCTTTTGCATCTGGCCTCTTTCACTTAGCATATTATTTTCTGGGCTCATCCAGGTTGTAGCCTGTATCAGTACTTCATCTTTTCATGGCCCAGTAATGTTCCATTGTAGGATATACAGGCTGAGCATCCCTAATCCAAAAGTCTAAAATCTGAAATGCTCTAAAATTTAAACCTTTTGAGCATCTGCATGATCTTCAAGAGGAAATGCTTATTGAAGCATTTTGGATTTTGGATTTTCAGATTAGGTACGTTCAGCCGGCAAGTATATAATGCAAATATTCCAAGATCAAAAAAAAAAAATCTGGAATCTGAGTACTACTGGTGCCATGCATTTTGGATAAGGGGTCCTCAACTTTACTGTATTTCGTTTATCCATTCACTAGTTGATGGACATGTGGGTTGTTTTCCCATTTTGGCTATTTGAATGGTGGTGCTTTGAATGTTTGTATACAGTTTTTAATGTGGAGGCATGTTTTCATTTCTCTTGGGTAAATATAGCTTGTAGTGGAATTGCTGCATTACATGGTTTAACTACGTTTAACTTCTTGAGGAATTGCTGAACTGTTCTCCAAATGGCACCATTTTACATTCCTGCCAGCAGTGTATTTGGGTTCCAGTTTCTCCACATCCTCACCAGTGCTGTAATTGCCTTCTATTCTAGTGGATGTAAAGTGATATTTCATGATTTTGATTTACATTTCCTTAATGAGTATGATGCTGAGCATTTTTCTTGTTGGGCATTTGTATACCCTCTTTGGAGAAATGTCTATTCAAACCCCCTTTGCTCATTTTAAAATTGGGTTATCTGTCTTTTTTAATTGTTTAATTTGTAAGCATTCTTTATATAGTCTCTATACTAGACCCATATCAGTAAATATGATTTGCAAATATTTGCTCCCATTTTGTGCGTTGTCTGCTCACTTTCTTGATAATGTTCCTTGATGCACAAAAGTTTTTAATTTTGATAGTCTGAACTGTGGTCAGCTCTCCATTGCTGTTCAAGACCAAGCCTGTAAGAATCTGGGCTGCTGTCCCTAGACAGTTAGGAGGCTAAGGATGTGTCTTGAGAGACCCTCAGAGAAAGGACTGAGTATCAGTCTTAGCTGTAGCCTCAAGTATAGGTATCAGGTCTGTCATTTTGAGATGTGAATGAATGTATAGACTGTCCAGACCAGTGGTTTTAAGAATTGTGTGCTGGTTTTGGTGACCCTAATGACTGTAGAGTTCAAGGGGATCTGTTCCCACAAGCCCCGCTTTCTCGCCTTGCCTCTGGTATATAATATTAAATGTGTGTTGAATAAATGAAGAAGTACCTTAGAACTACCAGAATATTTGCCAAGAGAAGTATCATATTTTCATTGTGAGTGGGTTAATTCACATTGTGACTGCCCCTCCCTTAAATCTTCGTACTTCTCGCTTTTATAATAAGTATTTTGTTGTACCCTCTTCAAAATAATAAATTGACATTCATAGAATAATTTTTTAAATAGATTTAATGTCCTAACTATAATATAAAGAGGAAATAAAAAGGTAATTTAAAATGAAATACTATTTCAGTATGTGCCTGCCTAGGCACAGCAGCATTAGAGAACAGAATGAAATGGTAATTGCATAAGGAACTCAATCTAGGTGTGTCTCCGTGGTAGCACAAATTCTATCAGTAGCACTGGTGTAGGTACTGATACTTCCCGGAGGGTCAGAATCACCTGGAGGTCTGGTTACAACACAGATTACTGGACCTCATGGCCAAGGTTTGGATTCTGTGGATCTGGAGTGGGCCTGAGAATGTGGATTTCTAACAAGTTATTGGCTGATGCAAGTGCTGCTGGGATGGGGACTATATTTGGAGAACCACTGCTGTATGCAATGTGATTTTTTTTTACCCAAGGTAATTAGCAACTGACAAGCTTCCAAACAAACTACAGTACAGTTTTCGTATTTCTGGAAATTGCGCCAAGACCATGAAAATATACCGTGTGTGCGTGCGTGTGTGTGTGTGTGTGTGTGTGTATGTATATACATACACACACACACACATATATAGAGTTCTAATTTCTAGGCTCAGATAGTTAATAGGACAGGCTTTGTACCTATATGAATGCTCAGGAAAAGCTGACAGTCCTGAGTAATGCAGGACAATTTCATTTTGTGTGGAACACTCTCCTGTGTTGCACTCCTGGCTCCCACTCACAGATTGCCAGTAGTGCTCCCAGATCATTGTGACAATCAGAAAAGCCCCTAAATGTTCCAAAACATCCTGAACGGGCAGTACTGCTGCTTTTGAGAGCCACTGATGTGTAGGATTTGTAGTTGGCACAGACTTCTAATTTGTGGTTTCAAGGTCAAGCTCAAGGCTTTGTGCTTTTGAGCACAGAAATGGGCACACTTGAAAGTGAGTCCTTTGAGGGTTTTTTTGTTATTGTGTTACAGTACAGTGAGGGGTCAAAAGATGAAAAATATAAAGAAAATGGGATTTGTATATTTTAAAAGCTAATTTGCATACAAATATGTGAGTATATATTTCTGGTGAAGTCTTCAAGTCTCTCAACATTTTTTTCAATAGTTAGGTGTCATGTCTTAGAAATGATTATCACTTTGTAAACATTTTTATGGGAATACAGATTATCATTTTTATCAGTAACGCCTATATTTACAGGACCATAACGCTTCATAATTAAATGCGGGTAATGTACCTTTTCCTTCTTACAGCGTCAGGTCTCAGATTGAATCCTGTGGTCCTCCTCTGCTTAGCCCTTTCAGGACGTAATTTCAGGACGACACTAGGGATGTGGAGTGTGCCACCAGTCCTAGTGTTCTCTAATGGAAAATGTGCTTTTCTAATTCAAACGAGGTTTGGCTGGTCTCATAGTAAAATCTTGAATATAAAGTTGGGTTGTGTTTTTAAACTGGAAAACAAAAACAGGCTGGGCACAGTGGTTCATGCCTTAATTCCAGCACTTTGGGAGGCCAAGGTGAGAGGTTCACTTGAGGCCAGGAGTTTGAGACCAGCCTAGGCAACAAAGGGAGACCCCATCTCTATTTTTAAAAACAAAAAGACAAATACGGTAACAACTGCAAGAAAGCTTCAGCTTATTTCTCAAACTCAGCACAGAGCCTAGCATATAATGGGCATTTAATAAATAATTAAATTAATCTATAGCTTGTAATAAACATTAATTTCTCTAGTACTGGAATATGAAATAAACAGATTGATATTTTGAGTTACTTCACAGGTAGATATATTTGTTTGGTTTACATATTGAAAAATCACTGCTTTTTATCTTTTTAACCGTTTCAGGGTGGATTCATGCTGTGCTCACTTCTCAGGACTGTATGGCTTTTGGGGGGAACTTCCTGCACAACCTTAACATTGGCATGCAGCTCAGGTTTGTGTCATCTGCATTTAAATAACCTTTTGTCCTTTTTAAAAATAGGATACTCTTTTTTTTAACTTAAAAAAGTGATAGCATATTTTATTTGAGATTCCATGGAAATAGTACCTGAGATATTATTAGGAATAGGAGCTTTTAATAACAGTAGTATATTAAAATTTTGCCAGGAGGATACTTTGCATTTCAAATCTAAAACAACAAAAAAGGAACTTATTCAGGTAACATCCCAAATTTCAAAATTTTATGAAAATGTATGTCTTCTCCTTTGGCTATTCTTGCAGTGAGGGAAATGAACATAATCTGGTCAGACTCAGATGTGACATATGGTGCTAAAAAAAAATAAAAGCAACCCTAAGTCAGGACTGCTATCAAAACACCTGCTTTAATTTTGCTGCAGGTAAAGGATTAATAGCTCTTTCCTCTCTTTTTGAGAATTTGATCTTTGTATAACTCACTTCCCTTGGTAGTCTAATGAGTGTAGACTTTTACTAGGTAACAATGCTTATGGTAAAAATGATTCTTGATTGATAAACTGCATCAGGACTGGGAGAACTAGAAATACCTAATACCTAGTAAGAAGTGATATCTTTGGATTTGCCTGAATGTGGTAACTCTTGTAACTTGGCATACTCATAGAGATCCCTAGAAGCTATGCATCTTTGCGTGGAGTTATCACAGGAGATGGTGGCTCTTACAGGGCATAAGCCTTTAAGCAGCCGCCACACCTACCAAGTGTGGATCTTGTCTCTTTGTATCTGAGCTGTCCCTGAGGGAGGGATGGCTCCTGCTATTTGTGCCAAATGTGGTCTTGAGCTGGAATGCTTAGTTGAGCCTAAAGAAAACTTTTGGGTGAGTATTGCACTGTTGTCTTACACATGGAGCTGTTTTCTAAGACACATACTTTTATTTATTATAGTAGAACCTTTGTAAAAATCTCTTTTGTTAAAACTAGGATACAAATCCCAAGGTATGATCTTGATCTTCTGTGAAGTTCAATACAATTTTTTAGTATACTGTCAAATTATAGTTAGAACCTTTCAATACAATTTTTTAGTATACCGTCAAATTATAGTTAGAACCTGGATAAGATCACAATTCAGTCTTGTCCAAATGTGATGTTGCTAAGCAATGTAAAACACTTCACTGGTCTTATATATCATGACCTGCTTATTTTATTTTCAGGTTGGTTACTTTTATTTAACTTTGAAATGCTAATATTAATATTAAATATTTCTTCAAATTCATTTAGGTGTTATGAGATGGAGAAAAGGCTAAAAACACCAGATCTTTTCAAATTCCCTTTCTTTGAAGCCATATGTTGGTTCGTAGCCAAAAACTTGCTGGAAACCCTGAAAGGTAAGTAACAATTTGCATATTTTTATATGATATGATGCATATTGTTTGTAAATTCACTCATAGCCACCTGACAGAAAGTGTCCCTTTTATAGTAGAGTATGGATGTCTCTCCTATTTTGTTTTTTAAATACATGGTTTCCCCCATTCAGGAACCTTTTCAGCAAGTTAGAGTCTCTAGTCTATAACCTGACAATCCATGTTCTTAAAATTAGTTATAAAATGCTTGGATCAGAACAACGTAAGTAACATTAGAAATGTTCATTCCATCTAGTACTCTAGAAGCCTGCAGACATTATCAAGCATGTGACAGTGCCTGACTCTTAAAAACGCAGTTTATGTCAAGAGACTTACCTAATACACGTTCCTAAAATTTGCTTTTAAAAAAGCAAACTAGGCTGGGCACGCTGGCTCACGCCAATAATCCCAGCACTTTGGGAGGCTGAGGCAGCCAGATCACCTGAGATCAGGAGTTCGAGACCAACCTGGCCAACATGATGAAACCCCGTCTCTACTAAAAATACAAAAAAATTAGCTGGGTGTGGTGGCGTGTGCCCGTAGTCCCAGCTACGTGGGAGGCTGAGGCAGGAGAATTGCTTGAACCCGGGAGGCAGAGGTTGCAGTGAGCCCAGGTTGTGCCACTGCACTCCAGCCTGGTGCCTGGTGACTGAGTGAGACTCTGTCTCAAAAAAACAAAAACAAAACCAAGAAAGTAGCCAGGCATGTGTGCCTGTAATCCCAGCTGCTTGGGAGGCTGAGGTAGGGAGAATCACTTGAACCCGAGAGGCAGAGGTTGCAGCCAAGGTCATGCCATTGCACTCTAGCCTGGACGACAGAGCAAGACTCTGTCTCAAAAACACAAAAAAGAAAAACAAGCAAACCAGAGGGAATAATTTTCACGTCCTGAGAGAATCAGGTAATGTCTGTGCTATCACCATTATGAACACTATGCTGGCTAGTATTTAAGTCACCCATTAGCATACAGACCAACTGAAATGATTCTGTAGTTGAAGAAAAAAACCTTTTTTGAACACATCTTTATATTTGAACTTAAAAACTACATTTTTAAAAGATAGAATTTTGATGTTTTAATATTTCAATTTAATCTTTGAACAGTCAAGTTGGAGACTGATGTCACTTGCTTCTATTGTCTGCTTCTCATGCTCATGTGCTAGTGAGAATAGTTTGTCTGCTTTTTTAGTCAGTTTGCAAATAGTGCTACTATTATAATTTGCAATTCTCAGAATAGACATAAACAGATTAGACAGTAAAGTTCATTCCGAACATTTGCTTCTTTTTCCATTTTAAAGTTAAACAAGAAGAAAAGGTAAAATGAAAAGAAATAACCAAAACTTTACTTCCCAAGATAGGATGTACAGAACTAAAATGATAAAACTCATATAACAATGTACCCTAAACCCCCCACCTTACAGCACAGTGCAGAGATGTCCTGGCAGTGCTTCTGGTGTATGGGATGGAGGTAGAAGCCCATGCGTGAGAAGGGACAGGTCCTTTCTTCACAAGACCAGTCTCTGCTCCAGAAATGAATCCTTATCATGAATCCCTGACACATTCAGTGATCCCAGATATTTTTCTTGGCTGTAAGAATGTTACAGTGGACTGCAGAGTTGCCATACATAGTTTTCATTAAAATACTGGACAATAGAGTTTATAGTCTCCTATTTAAGTGCAAGCCTAGACAGACAGGAACACTTTTAAATACTTTTAAAAACACTCATAAATTTCCTCATTTTGTGGAAATAAATCCCAACTATTGAACCTTCTGGTTAAGAGGCTGGCAATTTTATACTTGGTTCAGGGTGCTTTCTCCCCTCTTTTCTTTCTGTCCCAAGACTCCCAAGTTCCTGACACACACACACACACACACACACACGCACACACACACACACACACGCACACGCACGCCTGTACCCCTGGGGTTATCCACAGTGATCTTTTTTTCCACTAATGTCTAAGAGAGGCTCATCCTTTAACTTTCTATACTTGGTTCAGGGTGCTTTGTCCCCTCTTTTCTTTCTGTCCCAAGACTCCAAGTTCCTGACACACACACAAACGCGCGCGCGCCTGTACCCCTGGGGTTATGCACAGTGATCTTTTTTTCCACTAATGTCTAAGAGAGGCTCATCCTTTAACTTTTTAAAACTAATTTAAAACTTTTTAAAACAAATTAAGAGTTTTATCTGAAAGACAAAATCTTGACATTGCTCATGAAGCCACAGGAGCAATACTTCATCTTAGAACTGTTTAGTCTTTGTGTTAGGCTGTCGTAAGTCCAGAAACATTGAGGTCTGATGGAAGGCTTTACTCTATACATTAAAGACTTTTTTTTAAAGGATTATTAGAAAAGGGTATTTGTAGGTTGTTATGTTTCATTTCATTATCCAGATTAGTATAGAATCCCTGGCAATCAGTGATTCAATCCAGTCTCATCAAGGCAAAACCCAAATGATTATTATAGCAATTGGCATTGTTTTAAGCATTCATCCTTGAAACAGGAATGGTGGTCTTGTGACCCCAAATTATGTTGTTCTGTCATCCCTAACCTTTTTACTTTACATTGAGGTCTATTGTTTGCCAACTCTCAGATTGTTCTAAGGCTTATATCGTGGGTTAAATGAGGTTGAATCACCTGAAACTCTTTACTGTGTTTGATGTCAGTAATAGTAAAACAATGAACCAGTTTGGATTTGTGTAAGGAAATTCGCCACTGTGCAGAATCGAAATCCTTTGTTTCAACCTAGCTGAGTTTTGGACCACATCTAATAGATTTTTTTTTTGGTTTTAGATTATCACAATTTGATTAAAAAACTCAAGGCATTTGTGTTTATATATACTTTACCATCATAAACTATGTTATTAAAATAGTTGCTTATATAGCTCACACACATGCACTTCATACACACGCACACACACACACACTGTTTTAAGAATAAAGCTGTTATTACTCAGGTAAAAAGTACCCAAATTAAGCAAAAACAGCCTTGCCAACACCTTAGAAATGCTCTGTTATCTTTCTTATTACACCTTTCTGCGTCCTTTCTAGACATAATCGTTATCCTGACTTTTGTTATAATCCTTTTCTTCAGTTTTATCACCTGTGTTATAAACTAAAATAATTTTCTCCATTTGCACACTTCATATGAATAAATTACTGGTATTCTCTTGTAACCTTTTGCTCAGCATTGTTTGTGAGATTCATTCATGTTTTTGTGTGTGGCTGTCGTTTTCATTGCTATTCTGTTGTATGAATATACTATGAATAGATACATAGATACACACACACACACACACACACACACAGATTCTGCAGTTCGACATTCTGGAGTTATTTTTGGGTTTTGGCAATTATGGAAAATGTTGCTAAGAAGTTCTCGTCTTTGTCACCTAGTGCAAGAATTACTCCAGAAAACAGGCCCAATTGCCAGGTCATAGACAGAATTTAGTAGTTGTTGCCAAATTGTTTCCAATTTTCATTTCCATGGCAGGGCATGAGAGTTCACAAAGCTTTGTGCTCTGGCCAGTACTTGATATTGTTAGGTTATAATTTTTGCAAACCTTATGCATATGAAGCAGTATTCTTTGTGCTTTTAATGTGCATTTCCCTTATTATTAATGGAATGGGGTATTTTTTTCATACGTGTATAGGTTTTTTTGGATTTTCTCTTTACTGAAAGACAAAATTTCTTTAACAGTTTTCTTTTTTTTTTTCAACGTTTATGGTTAGTGCTTTCTGTGCCTTATTTAAGGGGTTCTTTTCTTATCCCAGGGTCTTGCAGATATCCTTGTTTTCTAAAAGCTTTTACTGTTGTTTGTGTGTGTGAGTGTGTGTGTGGGTGGTGGGAGTGTATTTTCACTTGCTTTTATATACATATCCTCTTGTCCCAGCACCATATTTTGAGTAATCCATTCTTTTTCTGTTCTTCATAAACACCACAACTCTCCTTTATCTTGTGTTGACATCTGTGCAGGTCCTGTGGTATATACACACATACTCACCCACCCTCCTGTTCCAGTGGGCTAGCAGTCTGTCTCTCCACCAAGCACACTATCTTATTAACCTTTTGATAAGAATTGATATCTGGTAGGTCCTCCTCCTTCAAGTATGTCTTGGTTTTTCTTTTCCCTTTCATTTTTATATAAATTTTTGAGTTACTCATTACAAGCTGACACCACTCTTCCAAAAGCAAGCAAACAAGTATTGTGGAGATTTTTACTTTGAACATGTTAACTCTAGAAATCAATTTGGGCAAAATTTGATGTCAATAAATACTGAATTTTATAAAAATGACATGGAACATCTCTCTTTATTTAGATCTTTAATGTCTTTTGGCATTTCTTTTTTGGTAAAAATTTTACATATGTATCTCTTGCTAGATTTACTCCATCTACTTTTTAGTACTATTATAAAAACATATTAGTCTGTTCTTGCATTGCTATAAAGAAATATCTGAGACTGGGTAATTTATTAAAAAAAGAGGTTCAATTGGCTCAGGGTTCCTCAGGCTCTACAGGAAGCATGATGCTAGCATCTGCTCAGCTTCTGGGGAGCCCTCAGGAGACATAACCATGGTGGAAGGCAAAGGGGGAGCAGGAGCAAGTTAGGGTGAAGGGAGAGATGCTACACATTTTAAAACAACCAGACCTCATAAGAACTTACTTGTCACGAGAACAGCACCAAGAGGATGGTGCAAAACCATTCGTGAAGGATCCAGCTTCATGATCAAACCACCTCCCACCAGGCCCCACTTCCAATAATTGGGGATTAAAACTGAACATGAGATTTGTGTGGGGACACAGATCCAAACCATATAAATCATTCCTAAGTATTTATATATATATGGTTGAACTCACATGAAATTTGTTTTTGTACTTCAAAAATAGTCAAATATTAGCAATTTCATATGTTTCAACTTACCATGTGATTCTGGAATACAGAAGCAGTTAATTTTTATACTTATTTTAGCAACCTTCTTAAAAATGATTATTTGACCGGGCACAGTGGCTTATGTCTGTAATCCCAGCACTTTGGGAAGCTAAGGCAGGCGGATGACCTAAGGGACCAGCCTGGCCAATATGGTGAAACCCCACCTCTACTAAAAAAAATACAGAAAAATTAGCCAGACATGGTGGTGCATGCCTGTAATTCCAGCTACTCAGGAGGCTGAGGCAGGGGAGTTGCTTGAACCCTGGAGGCAGAGGTTGCAGTGAGCCAAAATAGCACGACTACACTCCAACCTGGGCAACAGAACGAGACTCCATCTCAAAAATAAAACAAACAAAAAATATTATTTAATCATCTGAGGCTTTTTTTGGATTCTCTAATACACAGTCATATACAGCCTCAGCAAATAATGAGTTTTGTTCCTTCTTTTCTAATATTTTTATCTTTTTTTTTTTCATTGCTTTACCAAGTTGTCTAGGACCTCCAGGGAAATAGTGAATAGAAATGGCAAAGGTGGGCAGCTGTATCTTTGTTTCAAGTCTCAGAAGGAAAGCTTTCAATCTTTTGCCATTATTACCTTTGTTGTAGGCTTTTTGTTGATAACCTTTATCAGGTTTAGGAAGTCCTTGTCTATTCTAAGTTAGCTAAAAGGTTGTTTTTTTCCTTTCTTTTTAAAAATGTAGTTTAATTTTATGAAAAGCTTTGCCTGCATATATGAAAAGTCATTTCTTCTTTAACCTTTTAATTTAGCAGTTATATTAATTGATTTTCTAATATTAACCCAATTTATAATTTTTATATACCACTAGGTTAAGTATATTGTTTATATTCTATATGTTTATATTTTATATATTCTATATATTTGCATATTACATAGACTGTGTGCATTTTGGCACATGAGTGAAATTTGTTTTTCAATGCTGTCCTTGTTAGATTTTGATATGAAAGTTATGCTAGCCTCAGACAAAATGTTGAGATTGTTCTTTCTGTTTCTGATCTCCAGAGAAGTGTGTGTACCATTGGAATGATTTCTTTCTTGAATGACAGTAGAACTCACTGATGATCTGGATCTATGGTTTTCTTTGTGGGAAGATTTTTGACTGCTAAGTCAGTGTCTTTAGTGATTAAAGGACTAGAAAGCTTTACTGACTAATTATTGAGTTCATTTGTATAAATATTTTCTTAAAATGTATCTAGAAATTACATCTAAAATTTGACATTTGTTGGCATAAAGTTCTTTTTCAAAAATTATTTTTTCTTTTATTTTTATTACTGGATTGGTGCAAAAGTAATAAAGTTCTTCATGTTACCTTCTTACCTACTGAATATCTGTGGCATTTGTAATGACATTATTTCTATTCACCATACCTGGATATTTGTGCTTATTTTCTCTTTATATTAATTTTGTTACTTTTTTTAAGACCCTGTTTGAGGCCCTGTTTACTGTTTTGTTAATTTATGATTATTATTTTTATCAGGTTTTTTTGGTATTAAAACTTTTATGTGGGTCTTCAGCTCATTAATTTTTAGCCTTCTTGTCTAACATAAGTATTTAAAGCTATATGTTTCTCTGCATGTATAGTATATAACACATTTTGATATGTTTTTATTATTGTTTAACCAACATATTATCTGATTTCCAATGTTTTTCTTTGACCCATATGTTAGCAGTCTATTTCTTAATGTCTGCATTCTTAATTTCTAAACATATAGGCTTTCTTTAGCTTACCTGCATTATGAACATATATATGATTTAGGTCTTGGACTTTGATGAGACTTGTTTATGGTTCTGGAAAATGGATGAATTTTCTAAGTGTTCTGTGTGTGTTTGAAAAGAATGTGTATTCTGCAGTTGCTGGGTACAATATTCTATTTATGGCCATTTAATCAAGTTTTATATTGTTCAAATTGAATATATGTCTACTGATTTTTTTTTAGTTCATTTCCTCTATCTCTTACCAAGAGAAATATTTGAAAATCTTCCACTGTGATTGTGGAGTTGTTTATTTCTCCATGTAGTTCTGTCTAGTTACTGCTTTCTATATTTTCATACTGTGTTATTGAGCACAAATTCTAAATGGTTATATATGTCATTCTGGTGAACTGAATCCTTGGTCATTATGAAATAACGCTTTATATTAATGACAGTTACACCACCTTTCTTTTGGAAGCTTGGTATCTTTTTCCCATCTTTTTATTTGAAACTTTCCTATTTTTTTAAATATGGTATGTATGAATATTTAGCTTATTTTAAAATCTGGCCAGATACAGTGGCTCACGCCTGTAATTCTAGCTCTTTGGGAGGCCAAGGCTGGAGGACTGCTTGAAGCCAGGAGTTTGAGACCAGCCTGGGCAACATACTGAGACCCCATCTCTACACAAAAAATTAAATCCAATGAAATGGACTTTCTTTTAACTGGAGTATTTAATAAATTACATTTAATGTAATTCTCTTTCTTTTGTCTTTTTGAATTGATCATTTCATATTTCACTTTTTAATCTTTTTATTAATTTGGAAGTTTTGTAGTTTTATATTTGGTGGTTACTCAAAATCTGAAGTTAATCCCTTTAACTTTAGAACATTTTAACGTTTTTTTTTTCCCACCCCCATTTCCATTCCTACAGAACTGAGAGAAGATGGTTTCCAGCCTCAAACTTACCTAGTACAGGGAGTGAAAGCACTGCATACTGCTTTAAAATTATGGATGAAAAAAGAAGTAAGTTGTTTTAATAGTGAAATCACTGTGTTTTATGTGGCAAGGTTAGGAAAACAGAGTCCTTGGGCTATTTTGGCAGCACTTGTGAGTGCCAGTAGTACAGGGAATAGAAATCATGCTTTATGGCCAGGCGATGGCTCACGCCTTTAATCCTAGCACTTTGGGAGGCCGAGGCAGGTGGATCACCTGAGGTCAGGAGTTTGGAACCAGCCTGACTAACATGGTAAAACCCTACCTCTACTAAAAACATAAACATTAACCAGGCATACTGGCAGGTGCCTGTAATCCCAGCTACTCGGGAGGCTGAGGCAGGAGAATTGTTTTAACCCGGGAGGTGGAGGTTGCAGTGAGCTAAGATCATGCCATTGCACTTCAGCCTGGGTGACAGAGCAAGACTCAGTTCTCAAAAAGAAATCATGCTGTATATAAACCTGCATTTTATTATGCAGTATATACAAATGTACTGGTTTCTGAGAATATAGTATTTAGGTATTTCTTTAATCTTTGATCTGGAAAAGAAAGTAATTCAAGTATATTTACGAAATTGACTAAGAAATGAACATAGATATAGAATAATAAAAAATAACATTGAAGCCTTATAATGTGCTGAAAGCACTGTGCTTAGTCTATATACACATGATCTCACTTAATCCGCAAAGCCAACTGTATGAGGTCTGTGTGCTATTGGTACCACCATTTTACATAAGGGAAAGCTGAGGTTCAAAGAGTTAAATAACTTGCCCAAGAGAACTGGTAAAGCTAGGACTTAAAACTTAGATCTGTGGGATTTTAAAGCCTATACTCCTTACCACTCTGCTGGATTTATTTAAAAACTAAGGAAAGGAGAGTCCAAATTTCAAGCACGAGCTTTCTATTTTCACTAAAATATGAGCTAGTTGTTTGCATTTGAATCCCACCACCTCCAGATTTCCATTTGGAGTTAGTGTTTCCTTCCCTTATGCTTCCATGCTGTATTTCTAATGCCTCTGGGCTTAAAACAGATGTTTATAAGGTAATATATCTGTGTTTCCTTCAGCTGGGTCTGTGAGCTCTTGAACAGGGACTGTCTTTCTCATCTTTATTATAACTCCATGGACTTTTGCACATAATGCTTTAATAAGTGATACATATATATGTGAGCTGATGAAAATACATGTCCATATTAATTTCTTCTATTTTTTTTTAGAGTCTTGATCTGTTGCTCAGTCTGGACTGCAATGGTGTGATCTTGGCTCACTGCAACTTCCACCTCCCAGGTTCAATCAGTTCTTCTGCCTTAGCCTCCCAAGTAGCTGTATACGTGCACGGCACCACGCCCAGCTAATTTTTGTATTTTTTGATAGAGATGAGGTTTTGCCATGATGGCCAGGCTGGTCTTGAGCTCCTGATCTCAGGTGATACACCCAAGTTGGCCTCCCAAAGTGCTGGGATTTCAGTCATGAGCTACTGTACCTGGCTGCATCCATATTAATTTATTGAATGTCCCTTGACATAAAAATCTTGCTTTTAGGTCAGGCATGGTGGCTCACGCCTGTAATTCCAGCACTTTTAGAGGCCAAGGCAGGCGGATCATGAGGTCAGTAGTTTGAGACCAGCCTGGCCAATATAGTGAAACCCCATCTTTACTAAAAATACAAAAAATTAGCCAGGCGTGGTGGGCCACGCCTGTAGTCCCAGCTACCCAGGAGGCTTAGGCAGGAGAATCACTTGAATCTGGGAGGCAGAGGTTGCAGTGAGCCGAGATTGCACTACTGCACTCTAGACTGGGCAACAGAGCGAGACTCCATCTCAAGAAAAAAAACAAAACCTTGCTTTTAAGAAATACTGGGAGACAGTAATTAATAGGTTACCGTACCAATGATTTTATACTCTGTCTTCACTTTATTATCATTGCTACATATCTGCTAGAGCACAACACTATGGAAGCAGTCAGGAAAATAAAAATATGTCCTCCACTGTGAAAGACCTTATTGTCTAGGTGACAACGAAAGCCATAAGCAAATTTAAAACTGTTCAACAAGGTAATAACAAAATAAAGCATATGTTGCCAAAACTGTATAATTTCCTACTGAAGGCTTTAGACATGTGGTTCTCAAATTCGTGACTTTATCAGAATTGCCTTTAGAGCTTTTTTTGTTTGTTTTTTGTTTTTTTTTTGAGACAGAATCTTGCTGTATTGCCCAGGCTGGCGTGTAGCTGAATCTCAGTTCACTGCAACCTCTGCCTTGCAGCTTCAAGCGTTTCTCCTACCTCAGTCTCCTGAGTAATTGGGATTACAGGTGTGCACCAGCATGCCTGGCTGATATTTGTTATTTTTAGTAGAGACGGGGTTTCTCCATGTTGGCCAGGTTGGTCTTGAACTCCTGTCCTCAGGTGATCCACCCACCTCGGCCTCCCAAAGTGCTAAGATTACAGGCATGACCCACCGCGCCCAGCCTAGAGCTTTTTATAAAAATAAAACCCCTGGATCTTCCTCTAAGGATTCTATTTAATAGATTTGGGGTTAGGATCTGAACCTCTATTTTTAACAAACTTCTTAGGTGATTTTGATGCATAGTAAAATTAGTTATCAATAATAAATTCTGTTAATACATGCGCAGTACATTTTAACAAATATATTTACATTACCTATCTTATTAAATTTGTTTTAAGATGCGAATCAGCTCAGCATAGTGATTAAGAGCATGGATTCTGGAGTAGATGTTTGGAATCAAAGCTCAGCTTTGCTACTAATAAACTAGCTTCATGACTTTGGGCAAATCACCTGACTTCTGTGCCTCAGTTCTGTCGATTGTAAAATGGGAATAATAGTAGTATCCATGTCATAGTGGTAATTAAAGGTTTAAATGACTTAATGCTTGTAATGTACTTAATAGTATCAGAGCACAGCATTAGAAGATTATATTACTTTTGTTTTAATTTGTTTTAACAAATGATGCTAAAACCAAATAGAAGATATAAAGCAGAAGCAGAAACTATGTTGAGAGTGTCTAAAAAACCAAATTATTCTTAGATCTAGAGATTAAAATTAGAAAATAGACATAATAATGGCATTAGTTTGCAATTCAGTAGATATGGTAACCCACCAATTCCACTTTCCCTTTTTTTTTTTTTTTGTTTTTTGAGATGGAGTATTGCTCTGTCACCCAGGGTGGAGTGCAATAGCGAGATCTTGGCTCACTGCAGCCTCTGCCTCCTGGGTTCAAACAATTCTCCTGTCTCAGCCTCACCAATAGCTAGGATTATAGGTGTGTACCACTATGCCCGACTAATTTTTATATTTTTAGTAGAGACAGGTTTCACCATCTCTACTACTGGCCAGCAGGCTGGTCTCCAACTCCTGACCTCAGGTGATTCACCCACATCAGCCTCCAAAGGGCTGGGATTATAGGCATGAGTCACCGTGCCCAGCCTTCCCCTTTCCCGTTGATGGGCTCTTTTTTCTGTTTTATGTTTGACTATTAAAAGAAAAAAGAAAACTACAAAGATTTATTCAAATTAGATTTTGTAAGAGAAACTAGGATTACGTTAATGCCTGTGTTCTCCTTAAAAATCCTTATGCATTATGAATTAAATGTTAAGCTTAATTTGTTACTTTACCAATAAGTAGTAGTAGTTAGAATTACAGTAGGCTTTGAGGAGTAGAGTACAAGGTTACTACTCAATATAAAGCACAATTCACTGTGAGACAAGTCTGTTTTTAACACAATCTAAGAGGATTTTATATATTAATGAGAATCTCCTTAGAAGGCATTACACCAGCTACATAAACTCTGAACCCTGGCTTACTAGTGTTTGAAAATGATGTCTATAAAGTCAAGAGAATCCAAAAATTGGTTTAGTAAATTTGTTTTTACATATTAAAGTGTAAGTAACTTTGGTTTTCTTATTTTTGTTAATCCAAATACAGCTTGTATCTGAACATGCCTTTGAAATTCCAGACAACGTTAGACCTGGACACCTTATTAAAGAACTTTCTAAAGTAATTCGAGCAATAGAGGTAAGAGCAGAAACTATCATGTAAATTCTTGATTACTACCTGCTTCGAGAAGCAAATGAATCTATTCTCACCCTACAAATATCTGAAAACCCATACATACCTAGAAGAAATATAATGAGCAGAGTCTTTGGAGGTTTCTCAGGTTTTCAGGCTTCTAAAGTCCTAGAGAGAAATTTATAATATTGTATTCTGATTAAGGAAACAGTTTATCAGGTTGCTTTAGTATACTTAAAAAAAATAAAAAATACGGAGAATAAACAGTAGACTTTCAGATCTAGTTAATTTCAGCTACCCAGAGATGAATACATATTTAAGTAATTAGAACAAGAGAAGAAATGTAAGGTGAGTCAAGCTAGGGAAGCTGGGGTGGAGAGAGGGATGATAGTGAAATGGGGCAAGGAGATGGTTTGGTAAATGCCCTTTCATAAAAGTTCATAAAATCTAATTAGGTATTTTAATTTTTTAATTAAGAGCTATTCTCAGTGTTTAAGAAAGAGTGTTTTAAAGTAATTATTCAAGAACGTGGTTCTGTTAGTGTCTAACTTAAATTGAGAGGAAATTAGGTGGAGGAATGGAGGCCAACTGATGATTTAACAACTTATAATAGGGCTGTGTTTGGAGAATGGAAAGAGGTATACATTTACAAAATATTCAAATGCTGGTGTAATATCCATGGTTAGAATAGTTTGTGTAATTCTAAATGTGTTCAGATATAGTAGAAAAATATGTTGTTTTTAAAGTGTTATAGTAATCACGTTTAAATTGATTTAGTATCAAAAGTCATATCTGATCTTAAATATGTATGTAAGTTTATATATATATAAATTTCATGCATGATAACCAAAACTAAGAATAAACTTACTAATATGGCCAATTAGGAGCGGCTCAGGATTGCAGCTTCCAGCAAAAGCGCGGAGGGTGAGTGGACACATTTCCAGACGGATTTTTTTTTTTTTTTTTTTTTTAATTTAAAGATGGGGTTTCACCATATTGGTCAGGCTGATCTTGAACTCCTGACCTCAGGTGATCAGCCCACCTCAGCTTCCTAAGTCCTGGGATTACAGGTGTGAGCCACCACAGGATTTTTATTGCCCACAGACCAGGAGATTCCCAGGCGGAGGAGCCCCATGGGTCACCAGCGCGGCGGTTTTCGCCAGCACAGCGTGTCTCTGCACAAAATACACGGGTCTGGGCGCCATTTTTGCTGGTGATTGGAGCTCCTGGGAGGCAGAGTCGCCCTTTCAACTGATAAAAAAGGTACTGAAACAGGGAGCCAGACCAGGAGAGTCCCAGGCAAAAAAGTGCCACGAATCTCTGCACGGCTGTTTCAGCCAGTGCAGTGGGTCACCGCATGGGAAATCACACAGATCCTGGCACCTTTTCAACAGGTGACTGGAACACCTGGGAGACAAGAGTTGCCCGTTCAACTGAAAAAAATAAAAATAAAAAGGGGTCTGAGGCAGGGAGCCAGGTGATCAGGCTTGGCTGGTCCCACGCCCACAAAAAAACAGCAATCTGAAACGCTCTGGATTGAGAGTTTCACAGCAAGCACAGCTGAACCCAGGATGGTCCAGCTCTGTGTGGGAGGAGCGTCTGCCATTACCAAGGTAGTCCACCACTACAGAGGTAGTCCACCATTGCTGAGGCAGCCTGCCATTACAGAGAGAGTCTGCCATTACAGAGGTGAGCTGCCATTGCCAAGGCAGTTCTAACTATACCCATATAAACAGGACAGCAGGGAAGTTCACACGGCAGCTGCGTGCACCCCACAGCAGCTCAGCAAAGCCTCTGCAGGCAGACTGTGACTAGGCTGTCTCCTCACTGGACAAAGCAGCCCTGAAAAAAGGCAGCAGCATGACAGAAGCTTATAAATAAAGCCCTGACTCCCCAGGACAGAGCACCTGGGGGAAAAAAAAAAAAGGCGTTTATGAGTTCTGCTGTAGACTTAAACATACCAGCCCAGCAGCTCTAAATGAACAACGGAGCTCACAGCTCAGCACTTGAGCTCCTATAAAGGACAGAGTGTCTCCTCAAGCTGCTCCCTGACCCCAGTATATCCAAAGAGTCACCTCATAAAGGAGAGCTCAGACTGATGTCTGGCGGGTATCCTTCTGGGACAAAGATAGCAGAAGAAACTGGCAGCAACACTTACTGTTCAGCAGCTGCTGCAGGTGATCCCCAGGCAAGGAGGGCCTGGAGTGGACCTCAGCAGTCCTACAGCAGAGGCACCTGACTGTTAGAAGGTAAACTAAGAAACAGAAAGAAATAACTTCATTATCAACAAACTGGACATCCACTCAGAGATCCAATCAGAAAGTTGACAACTACAAAGACAGGTGGATAAATCCACAAGGATGGGAAGAAACCAGTGCAAAAAGGATGAAAACACCAAAAACAAGAATGCCTCTCCTCCTACAAGGGATCACATCTCCTCACCAGCAAGGGAACAAGGCTGGATGGAGAACGAGTATGATGAATTGACAGAAATAGGCTTCAGAAGGTGGGTAACAAGAAACTTCTCTGAGCTAAAAGAACATGTTCTAACCCAATGCAAAAAAACTAAGAACACTGAAAAAAGATTTGACAAAATGCTAACTAGAATAACCAGCTTAGAGAAGAACATAAATAACTTGATGGAGCTGAAAAACACAGCACAAGAACTTTGCAAAGCATATACAAATTTCAATAGCTGAATCACGAAGCAGAAGAAAGGATATCAGAGATTGAAGATCAACTCAATGAAATAAAATGAGAAGGCAATATTAGAGAAAAAAGAGTGAAAAGAAATGAACAAAGCCTCCAAGGAATATGGGATTATGTGAAAAGACCTAATCTACATTTGATTGGTGTACCTGAATATGATGGGGAGAAAGAATCCAGGTGGAAAACACTCTTCAGGATATTATCCAGGAGAACTTCCCCAACCTAGTGAGGTAGGCCAACATTCAAGTCCAGGAAATACAGAGAACACCACAAAGATATTCCTCAAGAAGAGCAGCCCCAAGGCACATAACTGTCAGATTCACCAGGGTTGAAATGATGGAGTAAATGCTAAGGGCAGTCAGAGAGAAAGGTGGGGTTACCCACAAAGAGAAGCCCATGAGACTCACAGCAGATCTCTCAGCAGAAACCCTACAAGCCAGAAGAGAGTGAGGGCCAATATTCAACATCCTTAAGGAAAAGAACTTTCAACCCAGAATTTCATATCCAGCCAAACTAAGCTTCATAAGTGAAGGAGAAATAAAATCCTTTATGAATGAGCAATTACTGAGAGATTTCACCACCACCAGGCCCACTTTACAAGAGCGCCTGATAGAAGCACTAAACATAGAAAGTAACAACCAGTACCAGCCACTCCGATAACATACCAAATGGTAAAGAGCATCGACAAAATGAAGAAACTGCATCAACTAATGGGCAAAATAGCCAACTAGCATCAAAATGGCAGGATCAAATTCACACATAACAATATTAACCCTAAATGTAAATGGGCTAAAGGCCCCAATCAAAAGACACAGACTGGCAAATTGGATAAAAAGCCAAAACCCATCGGTGTGCTGTATCCAGGAAACCCATCTCACATGCAAGGATACACAAAGGTTCAAAATAAAGGGACGGAGGAAGATTTACCAAGCACATGGAGAGCAGAAAAAAGCAGGAGTTGTAATTCTCGTCTCTGATAATATCAAATAGATTTTAAACCAACAAAGATCAAAAGAGACAAAGAAGGTCATTACATAATGATAAAAGGATTGATTCAACAAGAAGAGCTAACGATCCTAAATATATACGCACCCAATACAGGAGCACCCAGATACATAAAGCAAGTTCTTAATGACTTACAAAGAGACTTAGACTCCCACACAATAATAGTGGGAGACTTTAACACCCCATTGTCAATATTAGACAGATCAACGAGATAAAAAATTAACAAGGATATCAGGACTTGAACTCAGACCTGGACCAAGCAAACCTAATAGACATTTACAGAACTCCCCACCCCAAATCCACAGAATATACATTCTTCTCAGCACCACATCACACCTACTCTAAAACTGACCAGATAATTGGAAGTAAATCACTCCTCAGCAAATGCAAAAAAAAATGGTAATCATAACAAACAGTCTCTCAGACCACAGTGCAATCAAGTTAGAACTCAGAATTGAGAAACAACTCAGAACTGCACAGCTTCATGGAAGCTGAACAACTGGCTCTTGAATGTTGACTGGATAAACAATGAAATGAAGGCAGAAATAAAGAGGTTCTTCGAAAACAACAAGGATGAAGACACAACATACCAGAATCTCTGGGACACATTTAAAGCGATGTCTAGAGGAAAATATATAGCAATAAATGCCCACATGAGAAGCAAGGAAAGATCTAAAATCGACACCCTATCTTCAAAATTGAAAGAGCTACAGGAGCAAGATCAAAAAAACTTAAAAGCTAGCAGAAGACAAGAAATAGAACTAAGATGAGAGCAGAACTGAAGGAGACAGAGACACAAAAAACCCTTCAAAAAATAAATCCAGGAGCTGGTTTTTCGAAAAGATCAACAAAATAGACCACTAGCCAGATTAATAAGAAAAGAAAGAATAATCAAATAGATGCAATAAAAAATGATAAAGGGGATATCACCACAGATTCCACAAAAATACAAACCGTCATCAGAGATTATCACAAACAACTCTATGCACATAAACTAGAAAACCTGGAAGAAATGGATAAATTCCTGGGCACTTGCATCCTCCCAAGCCTAAACCAGGAAGAAGTCGATACCTTGACTAGACCAATAACAAGGGCTGAAGTTGAGGCAGCAGTTAAGAGCCTACCACCCAAAAAAAGCCCAGGTCCAGACAGGTTCACAGCCGAACTCTACCAGACATACAAAGAGGAGCTGGTACCATTCCTTCTGAAACTATTCCAAACAATCCAAAAAGAGGGAATCCTTTCTAAATCATTTTATGAGACCAACATCATCCTGATACCAAAACCCGGCAGAGACTCAACAAAAAAAGAAAACTTGAGGCCAATATCCATGATGAACATAGATGCAAAAGTCTTCAATAAAATACTGGCAAACCAATTGCAACAGCACTTGGATAAAAAGCTTATCCAACATGATCAAGGAGGCTTCATCCCGGAGATGCAAGGCTGGTCCAACATACCAAGTCTGTAAACGTAATTCACCACATAAACAGAACCAAAAACAAAAACCACGCGATTATCTCAATAGATGCAGAGAAGGCCTTTGACAAAATTCAACAGCCCTTTATGCTAAAAACCCTCAATAAACTAGGTATTGATGGAACATATCTCAAAATAATAAAAGCTATTATGACAAGCCAACAGCCAATATTATACGGAATGGACAAAAACTGGAAGCATTCCCTTTGAAACCTGGCACTAGACAAGGATGCCCTCTCTCACCACTCTTATTCAATATAGTATTGGAAGTTGTAGCTAGAGCAATCAGGCAAGAAAAAGAAATAAAGGGTATTCAATTAGGAAAGGAGAAAGTCAAATTGTCTATATTTGCAGATGATATGACTGTATATTTAGAAGACCCCATTGTCTCAGCCCAAAATCTCCTGAAACTGATAAGCAACTTCAGCAAAGTCTCAGGATACAAAATCAATGTGCAAAAATGACAAGCATTCCTATACACCAGCAACAGGCTTAAAGAGAGCCAAATCAAGAACGAACTGCCACTGACAATTACTACAAAGAGAATAAAATACCTAGGAATACAACTAACAAGGAACGTAAAGGACCTCTTTAAGGAGAACTGCAAGCCCCTGCTCAACGAAATAAGAGAGGATACAAACAGATGGAGAAACATTCCATGCTCATGGTTAAGGAGAATCAATATCGTGAAAATGCCCACACTGCCCAAAGTAATTTACAGATTCAACGCTATCCCCATCAAGCTACCAATTACCTTTTTCACAGAACTGGAAAAAACCACCTTAAACTTCATATGGAACCAAAAGAGAGTTTGCATAGCCAAGTAAATTCTAAGCAAAAAGAACAAAGCTGGAGGCATCACGCTACCGGATTTCAAACTATACTACAAGGCTACAGTAATCAAAACAGCATGGTACTGGTACCAAAACAGAGATATAAACCAATGGAACAAAACAGAGGCCTCAGAGGCAACACCACACATCTACAGCCATCTAATCTTTGACAAACATGACAAAAGCAATGGGGAAAGATTCCCTGTTTAATAAATGGTGTTGGGAAAACTGGCTAGCCATGTGCAGAAAGCAGAAACTGGACCCCTTCCTGACACTTTACACTAAAATTAACTCCAGATGGATTACAGACTTAAACATAAGACCTAACACCATAAAAACCCTAGAAGAAAATCTAGGCAAAACCATTCAGAACACAGGCATAGGCAAGGACTTGATGACCAAAACACCAAAAGCATTGGCAACAAAAGCCAAAATAGACAAATGGGACCTAATCAAACTCACAGCTTCTGCACAGCAAAAGAAACAGTCATTAGAGTGAATCGGCAATCACCAGAATGGGAAAAAATTTTTGTGATCTACCCATCTGACAAAGGGCTAATACCCAGAATTACAAAGAACTAAAACAGATTTACAAGAAAAAAGTCCATTCAAAAGTGGGCGAAGGATATGAACAGACACTTTACAAAAGTAGACATACATGAGGCCAACAAACATATGAAAAAATGCTCATCATCACTGATCATTAGAGAAATGCAAATCAAAACTACATTGAGATACCAGTTCATGCCAATTAGAGTGGCGATCATTAAAAAGTCTGGAGACAACAGATGCTGGAGAGGATGTGGAGAAATAGGAACACTTTTACACTTTTGGTGGGAGTGTAAATTAGTTTAACCATTGTGGAAGATAGTGTGGCGATTCCTCAAGGACCTAGAAAAAGAAATTCCATTTGACCCAGCAATCCCATTACTGGGTATATATCCAAAGGATTATAAATCATTCTACTATAAGGACAAATGCACAGGAATGCTCATAGCAGCACTGCTTATAATAGCAATGACCTGGAACCAACCCAAATGCCCATTGATGATAGACTGGACAGGGAAAATGTGGCACTATACACCATGGAATACTATGCAGCCCTATAAAAAACTATGAGTTCATGTCCTTTGTAGGGACATGGATGAATCTAGAAACCATCATTCTCAGCAAACTGACACAAGAACAGAAAATCAAACACTGTATGTTCTCACTCATAGGTGGGTGTCGAACAACGAGAACACATGGATGCAGGGAGGGGAGCATCACACACTGGGGTTTGTTGGGGGGAACTAGGGGAGAGAGAGCATGGGGAGAAATGCCAGATAGGTGATGGGGAGGAAGGCAGCAAATCACACTGCCATGTGTGTGCCTATGCAACAATCTTACATGTTCTTCACATGTGCCTGAAAACCTAAAATACAATTAAAAAAATAAAGAATAAACTTACTATAAAAGTTATGATTCTGTATGAAAAAAACTATAAATCTTGACTTACAGAAGTAAAACAATAGTTAAATAAATGAGAGTGCCATCTCTGAAAATGTCAGTCAACTCTAAATCAATATTACAAATTTAAAGTGATAAAATACACTTGGAAGAATAATTAGACTGGCCCAGAGAGCAGCCAGTCCAGGATGGGTCAGGAGAATGAAAGGATCCATATTTGTTATGACCTGAAGTTCAAGTTTAACTGGGTATCTTATAGTTTATCTGGCAGTCCTATCCAGGAAGGATGTCTCCAGAGAAAAATAGAAAATTGATGGATTACCAAATGTGTTTGAATGTTTTCATTCTTCTAGTGGATAATTTTTGCTGAGTCCAATTTACTGAATATTGAAGGAAAGGGAGGTATATACATGTTTAAGAGAGGTGTGTGAGGATTAAGACTTCATCTTGCATGATAGGAATTCAGTAATATCTGAAGGTGAAAACTGTACAAACATGTCATTTTGTAATTTGGAGGCAAATAACTAGAGGGAAAACCATTTAGAAGGGTTGGAAGTCCTGGCTAAATACCTGAAAGAATTGATAGCAGGGACTCAAACAGGTATTTGTACACCTGTGTTTATAGCAGTATTATCCACAGTAGCCAAAAGGTAGACCAAGTAACCGAAGTGTCCATCAGCAGGTGAATAGATAAAGTGTGGTACATGCAGTGGAATACTACTCAGCTTTATAAAGGAAAGAGATGCTGACACATACTACAGCATGGATGAACCTTGAAGATTTTTGCTAAGTGAAATAAGCCAGTCACCAAAGGACAAATTTTATAAAATTCCACTTATATGAGGTTCCTATAAGTGTCAAATTCATAGAGAATGCAAGAATAGTAGTTGCTAGGGGTTTGGTGGGAGGGGAGAATGAGAAATTATTGTGTACTGGGTACAGTTTCAGTTTGTGCAGATGAGAAGGTTCTGGAGATGGATGGCAGTGATGGCTGCACAAGAATGTGACTCTACTTAATGCCACTAAACCGTACACTTACAAATGGTTAAAATGGCAGATTTTATGTTTATGTTACCACAGGAAAAAAAAAATGTAGCAAGGGGTTGCCTCTGGAGAATGGGAGTCAGGGATGGGGAAGAGGAAAAGCATAACTTTTCATGATATGCTTATAGAATATTTAAGTTTTAAACTACGTAGATGTATAATTTTGGTTTAAAAAGTAATTATTGATTTATACAAACATATATGTGAAAAGAATGTTTGTTGTTGGAAAGAACAGCAACTTAAATGGCTACCAGTAAGTGTTAGGTCAGAAAATTAAGCTATATCTATACAGTGGAATGCAACACAGCCTTTAATAAGATTGAAAATCCAGGTGAGGTGCAGTGGCTAACACCTGTAGTCCCAGCACTTTTGGAGGCTGAGGCAGGTGGGTTGCATGAGGTCAGGAGCTCTACACCAGCCTGGGCAACTTGGCAAATCCCTCTTTCTAAAACAAATAAAAAAATAAGCTGGGTGCAGTGGCATGCGCCTGTAGTCCCAGCTACTTGGGAGGCTAAAGTGGGAGGATTGCCTGAGCCCAGGAGGTGGAGATTGCAGTGAGGCGAGATTGCACCACTACACTCCACACCCCAGCCTGGGTGACAAGAGCAAGACCCTATCTCAAAAACGAATAAATATAATAAAATACTGTTCACAGTATATTATGTTGCGGAGAGAAGGGAATAAAGATCTCACCAAAACTGTTTGAAGCTTAGGATGTCCTGTCTTTTTTTGTTGTTTATATGGTTAAACTGAATGGTTTTTGCTTTCTAAAATATTTTTATGGATGATTATTTAGTCAGGTATGTATGTAATAGCTGTCTCATAAAAATACTCTGATTTTAATTCTTAAAGGAGGAAAATGGCAAACCAGTTAAATCTCAGGGAATTCCTCCTGTGTGTCCAGTTTCACGATCCTCAAATGAAGCAACTTCCCCATACCATTCCCGAAGAAAGATGAGGAAACTTCGAGATCATAATGTCCGAACTCCTTCTAACCTAGACATCCTAGAGCTCCACACAAGGGAAGTCCTCAAAAGATTAGAGATGTGTCCATGGGAAGAGGCAAGTATTATGTTTCATGACAACAAAAATAAACTTGGTTCTTTAAAGTTCTTTAAAGGGATAATAACAAGAGAATAATCTGACTATTGTTGGTACCTAATCTTTGCTGCAGCATTGTCGGGATCAACCAGTAATTTTGCCTGTGACAGGGAGTGGTGCTTAATTTTTCTAGCTTTTAGTGTAGAATTTGAATGAACAGACCTCATTCGATTGCTGATAAGTTTACTGAGTCTTTAGCAAGTACCACTTCCTCTGCTAGGCTCTGGGAAGATGGTGAGCAAAACTTAAGTCTCTGCCCCTCATGAAGCTTCCATCCTTCTTCAAGAAGGATGGGGAGACAGAGACATATATTAAAATAATAAATTTCAGATTATTAAGTGTTATTTTAAAAAAGCAAAACAATAGAACAACAGAATAAAGGGGGATGAGGTAGAGCTGGCTGCTTTAGCTCAGGTCAGAGAACCTCTCAGGTTTGAACTGACAGCTGAATAACAAATAGGAGGAAGTCAGATGGTTATAAGGTGATTGGAGGAACAGCATTACAGGCAGAGGGAAGAGCAAATGCAGAAAGCCTCTACTTGATCCCACAGTCAGCCTGGAGGACTGTTAGACTGGGAGACTATCAGAAGAAACTCACTGAACTTTGTGAAGTGCTGGCCTGCTGGACAAAGGGGAGAATGGGAGGCAGTAATGAGATCTGTGTAGTGCCTTTGAAGAACATGGCAATGACTTTGTATTGAGCTCTGCATCATCCATAATTTTATATCCCAAGTAGTGGATAAGCAACAATTTTAAATGAATAAGATTGAAGAACCAGGTGCTGTGGTGTCGGCCTATAGTCTCAGCTACTAGGGAGGCTAAGGCAGGAGGATCACTTGAGCCCAGGAGTTTAAGGCCAACGTAGCTAGATCCTGGCTTTAAAAAAAGATTACACACACACACACACACTTTAAATATTTTAAATGTATGTAATTATATTATGTTGTTCTAAACTGTAATCAGAAAAGGTTAAGTTTACTATGAAAGGTTCTATTTATTATTAAGGGGAAAATCACTGTGAAAAGGAAATCTTTTTCATGCCTTAAGACCCAGCTACTATCTTTATGTTGCATGGTGGCCTTTGTTCCTAGTGATAGCTATGTGGTGGCCTGTAAGTTGCTTACTGTAGGTGGAGGATGGGTGAATGGAAAGGCACCAGTAGCTAGCACTTTAGCAGGAAGAAGCAAGGGGAAGAGATATAAAATACCCTGAGGCAGTGCTGCTCGTTTTTCAGCTTTCTGCAAGAACAAAATTTCTTTGAATTCGCTTTATGCATATTTTATGTTTTACTTTCTAAAATGTATTTCATAGTTAATAGCCCTCCAGAAAGATGAGCTATACTCTTGCTTTGGCTGTGGGAACTCTGGAGTGCCATACTGCTGCATATCCCCAAGCCCAGGTGGCTGTCCTGTATCTTTGAGAGGCAGGGCCATTGGCAGCAGTGGTGGTGGTATACTGTATTCCCTCAGTCAAGCAGGGCTACCTGAGGGTGGATGGGAAGTAAGTTCTGCTTTTATACTTTCAGGACATCTTGAGCTCTAAACTGAATGGAAAATTCAACAAACATCTCCAGCCATCTTCCACAGTACCTGAATGGAGAGCGAAAGATAATGATCTACGATTACTGCTGACAAATGGAAGAATAATTAAGTATGTAAAGTAAAACAGAGTATCAAATAGATTAATTTTCATTGGGTTCCCTTTGTTCATTTAACCCAGGGGTCCTTTGCCTTTTTGGCACAAAGGACTGGTTTTGTGGAAGACAATTTTTTCACAGCCAGGGGATGGTTTTGGGATTAAACTCTTCTACCTCAGATCATCAGGCATTAGATTGTTGTAAGGAGTGTGTAATTCTTGGACATGTGTAGTTCACAATATGGTTCACGTTCCTATGACAATCTAATGCTGCCACTGATCTGACAGGAGGTGGAGCTCAGGTGGTAATGTTTACTCACCCACCACTCACCTCCTGCTGTGCAGCCCAGTTCCTAACAAGCCACGGACTGGTGCCAATGTATGGCCCAGGGGTTGGGGACCCTTGTTTAACCTGTAGTGAGCTCAGTAGCTCACATCTGTAATCCCAGGTTGATTTGGGAGGCCAGTGTGGGAGGATCTCTTGAGGCCAGGAGTTCAAAACTAGCCTGGACAACTTAGCAAGACTCCATCTCTACAAAAAAATAAAAATAAATTAGCTGGGTGTGGTGGACATGCCTGTAGTCCTGGTTACATGAGAGTTGAGGTGAGAGGATCACTTGAGCCCAGGAATTCAAAGTTACAGTGAACTATGATTGTGCCACCGCACTCCAACCAGGGCAACAAAGCAAGACCCTGTCTCAAAAAAGAAAAACAAACATAAAACAAACCTTAGATCCCTACTGCATACTGTTACACGGTTGATTGAACTATGGGGACAGTGTCTCAATTCTCTGCTTTTTGTAAATTAAGTGAGAGGGGAATAAATACTGTTTGGCTACAGAGTCTTGCACTATATTCTAACTTGGTTATTTTTCCTTCATGATACAGAGATGAAAGACAGCCCTTCACAGATCAGAGTCTTTATACAGCAGATAGTGAAAATGAAGAGGATAAAAGAAGGACAAAAAAGGCAAAAATGAAGATAGAAGAGCGTTCAGGAATAGAGGGGGTGGAAAATGAAGAATCTCAGAAACCACTGAACAGTATGTTTGTTTTAATGGTTATTTTAAAGATAGTTCCATTACTAATGTGATAATATGTAAAATAACTTGCTAATTTTCAAGTTCTTAATTTATAATAGCAGAAAACTTTTGTGTCCCTAAAACTGTCTTGAAAAATCTGAAGTATGTCTGAGTAGTTCACCCATCACAGAAGTGCTGAACGTGAATGCCCAGTGAGGTGTAGTGGCCAGGGACGGTATTCTTAGTGAGGGGATGCATGTGGGTTAGAGATGTGCTGCTCTAGTCAGCTTTTACAGAGTCACATGAAAGCTCATGCATGTTATAGGCTTCTACTCCCCAAAATAAAAGTTTCCAGTTTAATTTATATATAATTTCAGACCATGTAGATGTTTTTCAGAATTAGGAAATATATATGATTGGCTAATCTGAAGCTGTTAGTAATCTACGTATTGTGGTTTTAATTGATTACCTGTTGACAAGAAGGCCTCTACTGGGTTATTAATTGGTTATCGTCAGTGTGGCAAAATGGTAACACCTCCTTCTCAAGATCTTTTTTCTTTGAATTAAGCCTTAATTTCTCAACATATTTCAGGATCTCTGTATTCCTTTTTATTTTAAAAAGTAGTTCAAATAAATATTTTGATACTTGACAAGTAAATGTTTCAGATTAACTAACATTATTTAATCTATGTTGAACACCCCAGTTCCTGCTAATCTGGGTAAAACTGGCACTGCTGTAGTTGGTGATTCTGCCTATGCACACATGCCAGGAAAAAGGTGCTAGTCAACAGGAATCCATCAAACCACTGCTGTATGGCAGTGCCTCATGAAAGAGAAAGCCCAGTTTATAAGCTTGTTGAATTCACTCTACATTAATGCTTTTTACATTTGGGAAAGTTATCTTTTTGTTTTCTAGTGATATAACTTATGCAAAAGGAGAAACGCGAAAAGCATCTAGTAGCTATTTCGTTTCAGCATTTTTTAGCTATCAATATAAGGAATATACAATTATGTTTAGTAAATACCACACTTATATTTGAGAATATACTTCAGTCTGTATCTTGGCCAATTAGGGAGAAAGACCTTGAGAGGAGAAAGAAATGAAGAAAATAAAAGTGGAAAAAAAGAAGGATAGAACAAGAGAGATTGAGAGACATCACAAAGCTGGATGGACTTTAAATATCACTTTGTCACCTTGTTCGCCATAGTCGAATGACTTTCTCTTTTTCTCTCAACCTTTCATTCTTTTTCAGGGTTTTTTACACATGTGAAATCAGAACTCAGGAGTAGACCATCAGGATATTCTGATATTTCTGAGTCAGAAGACTCCGGACCCGAGTGCACTGCACTGGTACGCCTGAGACCCTGTGGCTTGTACGTTATTTGATCGAAAGATGAGCACCCATGTAACTTCTCCTGGAAGGAAGGCAAATGAGAGCTTTTCCCAAAGCTTGTCTCCTGACTTACTGTAGCACAGGGTCTTCATGTGGTGGTCACTGTACACACACCATCATGTGACCACTCACATTTGAGAAATACAGCCTTTGTCTGATTTTGGAAAGGGTGGAGGGAAAGACTCTTCTGCTTTTACTATTCTTGTTTCATATTTCTCATAGATTTTATCTTACCTTAAAGAAAGCTTGTACTGTGGATTTTTTAAATCAAGGTAATATATTCATGTAGTTAATATTTTGATTTTTCCTCATGTGAAATACAGAAATAATTCCATGATAATTAAGTTTCTGACTTTCCCTAGATGTATAAAATCTTTTTGGATTAATTTGTACAGACGTGGTCAATTTCTTATGTAGCTTTGTTTCCATGTAAATATTATCTCAGAAAAATAATTTTACCACTGAAGAGTCTGAAAGTTCAGGTGATGAAAAGAAACAAGAAATAACATCCAACTTTAAGGAGGAATCTAATGTGATGAGGAACTTCCTTCAAAAGAGCCAGAAGCCATCTAGAAGTGAAATTCCAGTTAAAAGGTAGGCTTGCTGATAGTAGTAGTCTTATTATACTGTAAGATAAATACTATGACATTTTTTTTAGTTTTAAATTTTACCAAAACTGTCATCGGAAAAACTAGACTCTTGTGTTTTGGATCATCTCCTCTTTAGGGAATGTCCTACCTCGACGAGCACAGAGGAAGAAGCTATTCAGGGCATGCTATCTATGGCAGGGTTGCACTATTCCACTTGTTTACAAAGGCAAATACAAAGCACAGACTGCAGTGGTGAAAGAAGGTCTCTCCAGGATCCCAGCAGCTGCCATAGCAGTAACCTTGAGGTTAGGCAGTTGTATCGCTATGATAAACCAGTGGAATGTGGTAAGAAACATAAATTGTCAATTTCTAAAAAGTAACATATGTTGCCTAACTTAATGGCTCAATAATCCTTATTTAGGTTAGAGATTATGAGTAAGGCATGTTCATTACACATCTTTAAATGCGTTAAGAAGGTTGACCAAAAAAACCGCAATTCTGACATACCATGTAAGATGGAAGCAGAAGAACTCAAAATGAATTACCTGGGATTGACAAATGTGTTCACTGGCATCATTCTACCATTGCTGTTGCAAGCCAGTTAGTAGTATTTCCCTTTTACAGGCAGGTTGATCACAGTGGAAGGAGTGTTTTGGTGCTTTAAATGGTCAGCTAACTTTGAACAATCAACCCTTTTTCCTTTTATGAGAAGAAAAACAAGTTTTGAACTGTTTCTTTCTGATTGAGGCTATTGTTTCTCAACTTGAAAAGAAAGTATTAGGAAGAGAGAGTCGACTTGTGGTAATGTTAGGCATGCCACATAGTGTTTTCTTCTTTGTGCCTTTAGAGAAAATGTTTGTATCCCAAAAAGCCTGAGGAGGACTGGGGAAAAGATAGTACTGTGTTAAAATTGAATGCCTATATAATAATTGTGTTTGATCCTACATAATTATCAACTGTGTACCAGGAGCTTGACATCCATTTCACTTAAATAATTTTTTTTTGAGATGGTCTCACGTTGTTGCCCAGGCTGGAATGCAGTAGCACAAACACGGCTCACTGTAGTCCCAACCTCCAGGGGTCAAGCAGTCTTCCTGTCTCAGCCTTCCAAGTAGCTGGAACTACAGTTGCATGCCACCAAACCTAGCTAATTTTTTGACTTTTTAGCTTCTGGGCTGGGGTACTTTCAGGTTGCTTGGTGCCAGGGGGCTGCCCTTTTTTGACTTTTTGTAGAGATGAGGTCTCAACTATGTTTCCCAGGCTGATCTCCAACTTTTGAGCTTGAGTGATCCTCCTGCCTCTGCTTCCCAGAATGCTGGGATTACAGGTGTAAGCCACCATGCCTGGTTATTTCACTTAATTCTTAAAACAATAATTGTAGGTAAAATTTACTCCGATTTTACAGGTAAAGGAAATAAGACTTAGTGAAATTAATTTAACTTGCCCACACTTCACATAGATATTAGTCAGTGGTATTGGAATTTGAAGCCAGGACCATCTGATCTCAAATTCTTTGCTTATTACCTGCTTTTATTCTATGTGGAAAAATACACCATTTTTAGAGAGAATTATTGCATTGGTTTTACATATACAATAAATAGGTGGCCATAGAATTTGATTCTAGATCTTCCAGCATCTAGCCCAAAACCCATTATATAAAGACAGTCTTTGAGGCTAGTCTGAGTGTGGTGTGGTGTTTATAACTAATTGATCACGAACAATTACATATTTCTTTGTTCCTTCTCCATCTCACTGCTTCACTTGGCTAGCAAATGAATGAATGAATGAAGGCAATCTTTGAGAGAATTGAAAGAATTAGCATAATAGGTTATGAGCTGGTGACTTGTTTTTGAGAGGGAAAGGCATATAGTGAAAGTACACAAATGAGTATCTAAAGAGTTAATATGTTTTTAAATAAAATGTCAACATAAATTTACTTTCATTTTTAAGCATTAGGCTAATTTTGTCATTTCAGATCAAGTTTGTACAAAGTTACTTAAACTAAAACTTCTCTTTAGGATACCATGTCAAGACTGAAGAACAAGACTTGAGGACTTCCTCCTGGATTAAACAGTTTGATAATTCTAGATTTAATCCTCAGGTATGTTCAAAGTTTGAAACCTTAAAAGGAGATTTAAAATGGTTATTAACTTTGTTTTTGCTTTCTTTTTTAAAATTGTATCAACTGGTTATCAAGTGCCAGATCTAGGCAGCCAAAAAATTATAATTAAATCCACATTTGAACAACTGTCCATTTTGAGAGATGCTGAAATGATGACTAACATAAGGCTCATGGATAGAATGCGATCTGGAAAAGAATAATTTATTCAAGGAAGCAGTTAAAAAACCACTGGCTGCCAACCCCTGTAGGTTATATCCGGTTAGAATGAAATATTAAAGGAAAAGAATATCATGAAGTTCTCTTTTTAATCTCTGATGCTGTTTCTTGAATGGTTTTGGATACCAAATTTCTTTGAGCATTTCATGAAAGTTACAGATTATCTTTCTAGATTAAACATTGATGATAAACACGACTTTTGCTTACATTACTCACTATTTGTGCTACTACCACCCCCTCTTGCCCCAGACCATCCACTGGCTCCAGGTTAAGAACCTTTGATGTAAAAGAAAAACCTGGATGTTTTAGGATCCCAGAATATTAATGCTTATGCCAAACAAAATGAACCCAAAATAGCAGTTCTGAAAAAAGTAAAACGTTACCAATAGCACCAAACAAGCAAAGTAATACAAACTTTTGCTGCAAACCTTGGAAAATGGCAGCCAGAGAAAGAATAAAAAGTTTTCATGTGACAGTGGGGCCCCAAACCTCTCTAACTGAAGCACACGTAAGAAAGAAAGTAAATCAGCAAAGGCAGGAATATTGCCTCTAGTTCTCCTTCGTGTGAAGAAACATTTGTGGGGGAGAAGGGAAGGAGGGAGGAAAGGGGAGGTAGAGGAGAATATGAGTAGACTGTTTAAGAAGTGAAGGGAAAATCTCTTGTGAAAAAAGCTTTCACATAGCACTGAAAGACCTCAGCAGAAGTGAAAAGGGCCTCTTAGGTTTTGCCATCTTCCATAACTCTGGGTTGATTGGAGGAATGAACTAAAATCTCTGGAGGAGGAGATACCTGTATATATAGACAGAATAGACTCTACCCCTAAATATGGAACATCATTAATCTCTGAGTAGTGGAATAATGGGTGGTTTTTATTAATATTTTCTTTATTTGGCTTAGCAATTACTTTTATAATAAAGAGAGGCAAGTTATTTTTTTAAAGGAAGTTTTTGTGAGTATACATTCTTTGACTAGAAGGATATATTCCAGAGTCAAAGGTCATAAGAAATCTTGTTATAATTTACTTTTGAGTATATGATTTTATAGTGCCTCACTGTAGCTGGTCATAAAGTTTATCACTTATTAGCACTATATAGGATTATGTAATGTAAGCTATTATTTAAATCAGGCTTTTTTTTTTAATAATTGTTTTTGAAAATAAATGAAGACATAGAGGATAGATAATTAGCATAATGAAAACTGGTTTCATGAAACAGTCACACTATGGTGGACTCTGTTCACATCTAGTCTATTCCTTTCTCTTTTTAATGCTGGTTATGACCCTCTCAGTTAATTTCAAGACTCACCAGTCAGTAGCATTTTTTTCCCCTTGAAAGTTGACTCAGTAGTCTTAAGAGACTAAAACAATAGTTGTAGTAAAAGGAAAACATCAAGCTTGGGACGCTGGATCTAAGGATTTTCTAAAAAACAAATACAGTGGAGATGAACCTGACCGAAGATAGGTTCTAAAAAAGAACATCACATATGTAAGGTCGGAGGGAACTGTGACATGCCAAGGAAGCGGGGAACCCATTCCCCCAGTTCAGGGTCCCTGCATGGCACATGCTTATTGAGTGGAGTAGCAAGTAGGGCGCAGTGCCTGTTTTCATTGTTCTTTCTCATTCTTTCCCCTTAACTTGTGATGCAACTTCAAGATCCAAGTCCTTCAGAGCTGTTAGGTCAGTGGACTGAGATGACATCATGCAGGAGTGGTCATCTGTGGCTAACTTTCACACGTGTCTAGAGGAAGGACATTTCTGACTGTATATGATGGTCATCATGGCAGTTTAGGTGTAGTCTCTGCACTGAAGTTGTTCAACATCTCATGCATCATGGACAGCAAAGTGATGGCAGTATACACAGGTTACTATGGGAACAAAGAAAATCAGAATTCAGTAGTTTGTTTCTTCTCACTTGACTTTGCCAGTGTGTGCAGAGAGCTTGAATACCTCATATAAACCCTAAAAATTCAGCTTCATTTCCTTCCTCCTCCTTCAGGATCTAAGTAGAAGCCAGAAATGCATCAAAAAGGAAGGTTCATCAGAAATTAGTCAGAGGGTACAAAGTAGGAATTACGTGGACAGCAGCAGCTCAAGCCTTCAGAATGGAAAGTATATGCAGAATTCAAACCTGACTTCAGGGGCGTGCCAGATAAGTAACGGCAGTCTAAGCCCAGAAAGGCCAGTTGGTGAAACTTCCTTCTCATTGCCCCTTCACCCCACCAAGAGACCGGCATCAAATCCACCACCTATCAGCAACCAGGCAACAAAAGGTAACTTTCACACGTGTCTAGAGGAAGGACATTTCTGACTGTATATGATGGTCATCATGGCAGTTTAGGTGTAGTCTCTGCAGTGAAGTTGTTCAACATCTCATGCATCATGGACAGCAAAGTGATGGCAGTATACACAGGTTACTATGGGAACAAAGAAAAAGGATATCCAAGTCAGCTCTGAGGAGCAGGAGACAGATCCTAAAATCAGAGCACAGGGGTTAGCCAGGCTGAGCTGGGAGAAGTGACAGAATAAACAGCTTTGAAGGCAGAGGAATGAGCCTGAGCCATAGCACAAAGGGGAGAAACAGGATATGGGGTATTTGTGAAATTGTAGTCGGTTTTGTTGCCAAAGCACAGTTTAATGCGGGACCAGAAAGAGCCCAGGCTGAAGAGTAGGCAGACCAGACTGTGGGAAGGCCTTACAGATAATTTGATGAGGTGGAAGGGTTTTAAACACTGAAAGTCCAGAAGTGCGACTTTGTTCATGCAGAACACCTAAGGGTTTACTTGTCACAGAGCTCTCCCTGTAGTCTTCCAGGTGCCCTCTTAAGTGTGGTTTTCATTGCTATTTATACTCCTTTTGGTGTTTTATAGGTAAACGTCCAAAAAAAGGAATGGCAACAGCCAAACAACGTCTTGGGAAGATCCTTAAGTTGAACAGAAATGGCCATGCACGTTTTTTTGTGTGACAGAGCTGCTGTTGCAGCCATTCTTCCCTTTGGAGACCAGTCTAGGGGTGCAGGAGCCTGGAGCTTCTGCCATCCCCCTGCCTGGAGCAGTTTGTGTGAATAGTAAGAACACTGCCCGAAGAACAGAATGAACCTGATGCTGCATTTTCACTGTGCCACACCCACTCAGCAATAACCATTTTGGACCTGGTGGGGGAGAGGAAGAAGGAGGGTAGAACCTTAAAAAGAGACCTTGAACTGGAAAGGGTCTCTTGTCAGGGCTTAAATTTTATTTTGTTGTTGGTAGTGTCTGGATGTATTTTCAGTGGTAGGGTAAAGAATTATCAATAATTTATTTAACAGATTTTTTTTTAAAGTTAACAGCTTTTAAATTCTTTTTTTAAAGCTATTTATTTGGAAGATTTCTGGAGAAATATCTCACTAATTTAGATGTAAGAATGTGACGGTTTTTAAATTATTTTTGATAGTGTGTGTGTTACATGTGGGGAAGAGCCACGGTAACAGTAACTAGTCTGGACTCTTAAATTTGATATTCAGGTTAAAGTCTTAAACAGGGATTTGATGCATTAATTATTTTAAATTAAGATGTATATGAAAATCATTTTATTTTATATATTTCATGTGTTTTTTATAAGCTATTAGCTTCGCTTTTGCTAACATCCAAGGTGCATACTGTTATCCAGGTTGATTAACTTATATCTCACTTCCCTCTGCACTCCCATCATTTTGTGATAACCCAGTGAGACTCTTCTCTTTGCAGGGAAACACTTTCATAACCAATGTGTAAGAACTCCATAAAAGATCCCTCATTTTGTTTGACATTGTGATTTTCTTCTCAATATTAAAAAAAAAATAGGCTTTTGCATTTTCATTTCTGCTGATAATATCTGGGTCCCAAAGAGAACAGCTTTAATATCTTTTTCCTATTTTAGGGAAAAGTATTATAAGTTTGGTTAAATTGTCATGTTTATAGTTTTTCCAAATACATTTGTAACTACAGTGGGCCTTCTTCATACTGCTGGTGTTGCACAACAGGACTGACACCTGCTGCAGAGGTTATATCTTACGACGCTTTTATTCACCATATCTGATTTGTTGAAAATATTTTTGACTTAGGATATTCAAATCTGCATAAGCCGTAATATATAGGATTAATACTACATTAATTTGTATAGAAGCAAGCATGTTGGAATAGATTTTTTGTGTGTATTTACTTTTTCATTTCTTAATTTTCTAAAGAATTATTTAAGATATGGATTTGGAGTAAAATGGGTGCTTCTGGCAGTTTATTCCATCTATCCTAATCTGACAAGTGCATACTGAAGTTAAGTATCCGGTTAAACTTTAATCATTTATCTCCTTTATGTATAATTTTTACTAAATGCAGATTTCAGTTGCTTGTAGTACCCATTTTCCCTTTTTTTCCTTTCATGGCATAAAAATAAGCGATTTCTGGGGGTGGGGTGGAAATGTTCTCAAGTCTGACAATAGAGCATTTTACAAATTCCTACAAAGAAAATATAGGCAAATAGATAAAATTTACTTTTGTGGGGAAGTATGGCCATATTATGGATTTGTCTTTTTTTACTCAGCAATATAGCAGGACTTAACCCTTCTGTATTATCACTTGAATTGCTAATAAGAAAAAAGTCTATACCATCATCTTTCATGGTTGCATTCAAATGTGTATTTTCAAAGAAAAATATTTCTTAGTGTCTGCATTCCAAAATTTCATGGGATAAATATCAAATAGTTTATGAAGTAGCCTTGCTGGTTCAGATGGACCAAAGTCTGAATCTTATCTGGGTATCAGGAAGAAGACTTTTGTGAAAATCCTCAGTGTCTGTGAACAACCTGTGTAAACCCTGTCTACACTATGCCAAAACCAGTGGGAAGATGGGTAGAGTCATCTTATCTCAGGATGTCAAAAATCTGGGTTTGACTGATTCCCTTACCTTCCCATACAGTATATTCTTGTGATGTGTTGGTTTTCTGTAGATCCTGAGTTGGTGTTAACAATAGTCATGTTTTTATTTTGGTTTCGAGAAATAGGAGGTTTAAGAGCTATAATTTCCTTTTCCTGTAATACCATGATCTGTTTTTTTTCTTTATGTTTTTCACAACTCTGAGTATTTTCAGTTTTTTTAGCCACAAAAATTAAAATGAAACTTTATTTTTGTGAATTAAAATGAAATTTATTTTATTTTTATGAATTAAAATTGTGGCCAGTATCCACTGTGTTCTTAGGCTGAGGAAAACTAATTTGGAATAGCCCGTATGTGGAATTCTAAAGTGAAGGTACTATGTATTCATTGTTAGTAGTTTTAGCTCATTAAGGGGCTAAGTCAGAAAACTTTCAGCAAGGTAATAGAACCACTAATATAATCCATGTATCTTTTTCTGAATTGGTGAAAATTCGGCCACTGATCCAGTGACTCCTAGTTAAACCTCTTATAACATTACTGGCTGTGATGCATCCCTATAGCTCATGGAAATAGCTGAACTTTGTGATAACTGCCGCCAGTACCTGGGCTTAACAGTAATAGAGAACCTCATTCATACACCATACAGACACAACAACTTAGGAAGACAGCACTGATAGCATTTAGCTAGTTGTAAGCAAATACAAATATGTAAAATTGAGAATTATGAGTTAACATATGCAACTTTAGTAATAGTAATAGATGATAATTTTCCTGTATTGTTTCAAATAAGTGACTCTTCAGCTGGGATCCATTGGATTGTAATTCACAATGTCACATAATATGCTTTTTAATATTGATGAATGATGTAAACAATATAAAGTTGGCAGTTTGTAGTAGTCCATTATGCTAGAAATACATTGCACTTCATAAGTATCAGTTGATTTTTAAGCGTAAAGAGTTGAAGATTCTGACTGAAATCATAAACTCAGAGAAAACAAGTCCATCTTTATCACTAATTAGCTTGAATACTTTTTTTTTTTTTTTTTTTTTTGAGACGGAGTTTCACTCTTGTTACCCAGGCTGGAGTGCAATGGCGCGGTCTTGGCTCACTGCAACCTCTGCCTCCTGGGTTCAGGCAATTCTCCTGCCTCAGCCTCCTGAGTAGCTGGGATTACAGGCACGCGCCACCATGCCCAGCTAATTTTTTGTATTTTTAGTAGAGACGGGGTTTCATTATGTTGACCAGGATGGTCTCGATCTCTTGACCTCGTGATCCACCCGCCTCGGCCTCCCAAAGTGCTGGGATTACAGGTGTGAGCCACTGCGCCCGGCCAATACTTTTCTATTTTTAAATAATCCTAATTACTGCCTTTTCAATGTAGTCTACTGTATTTATTCATATGGGATCAACAGGTATTTATCAAACATCTACTGTGCGCCCAGCACTACCTAGTACTGTGGGGGAATATAAAGTTGCAGTTGTGGTCTCTGCCCTTGAAGGTCTTCTCCAGGAAATTAAAACTATTATTTTCACCTCTAAGCAAACATGAGCAAAAGAGGACCTGTTCATTAAAAAACACCCTAACTTTTTTAGTTTTAACTGAGATATGCCACTGTAGAAGTGAAAGTAATTTCACAATTTAAGAAACACTTCAACTTGGTAATTTAATATGGTCATACAGGGACTCAGTGTAGCGTGCCAGGAAGCAGAAGACCTGGGTTTTTGTCCAAGTTCTGCCATTTAGGTATCAGCTGTATAACCTTGATTAAGTCACTTATTCTTTCTGAGTCTGAGTTTTCTCATTTGTAAATTTGGATTAAAATGTTTATTATGATAATTAAGAAAAACATAATCTTATTGACACTTCATACTTACAGAGAACTTATTAAGTGAAAACTGGTAATTAATGAATGCACCTTTATATATATATTTTTAATGAAAACTAATGTTATTCATGATGTTTGTTTTATATCAAATATATGCCCAGGGCATGCTACTATAAAAATCCGAAGAATCTCCAACAAGGTGCTGGATTAAAATCAGACTTTGTGCTTGAAGTGGAAAAAAAAGAAATGAGGTTTATGGATAAGAGAGTGAGAATGTGTATCCTCAAGTACGTTAGGGTGATTTAACTGAAAGATGGCTTTTGGTTTTTCTGGAAGAATTAGGAAAGTACCATCCCCAAAGGTTCGGCATACTCTTTAGGTACTAAAGGTGAAGGAAGTCATGAAATTAAATGACTTAGCAACTCCCCAGGGAACTTGTGGGGCGAATGAGGCAGAATGGTGAGAATGCACAGACAGCTCTGGGTTGGGTGCCAATAGCTTGCTCGGTAGAGAGAAACCACTGTAGAAAAGGAGACTCCACCAGACATCTTCGACAGACAAGATTCTTTCTGGCTTTTTCAAAAGATGGTTTCTGCAGCAGTAAGACTATAGAGTTGATTAGAATAATCATGTGACCCAGTATGCTACTGCTAGGTGTAATTATCAAAAATTCATTTTTCTCATTAAATATTAAGTTAATTGCTTATCACATAAAGAGAAGCTAGAGCTCACCAGTCTTTTCTTGGTGTCCTAGACCTTCCTCTAAAGCAGTCTTGAGAAGGTTGCGCATCAGATCTTTAGCCTAGACAGAGTGTCACTGGTAAATAAAGGAGACACAGGAAACCCAGAGCGGGCAGTGATTTGCCTGGGGATACACAATGGATCTGGGGCCTCTGATACCTTGCTTCCAAAAATAGCCCCTGGTTTGTGATGCTGTGCAGCCTCGGCTTGTCCTGTGGGATGATGTTGATATACTTCCTTGAAACCAGGTGGAAAGAAAGGGGAAGAATTTTCTTATTCTGTTGCTGTCGAACATAATGTAATTTTAATACTGTAGCCTTCCCAGAAGCCCTTCCCTTTTTTTCATGCTATAAAGTCAAATATTTGATATCCTTAACATAAATTTTAAAAATTAAGGTCATTAGGAAGTAAATGTCTATTTCCAAAGCAATTAGCTTGTTGTGATTGACTGATTTTATCCTTCTATAGTATTTTTTTCCTCATTTTAATTGAGAGGAGAAAATAATACTTTATTGCAATATCCTTAGATTCTCCCCTTCACTCTGGTGCCCTTTCTAGTGTCTTAACACTTTGACTTAACAAGTATAACATTAGATTTTTTTGTTAAGCCTTTTTGAAACTGTATTCAGTGATTCTACTAAGTTTATCTGCTCTGCACTATTTCACTAATAAACCCTGGCTACCACGTAGCCCTTGACCTCCAAGTAGTTTACCTATGCAAGACCTGTGACATTCTGAATTCACTTTTTTTTTAATTTCAGAAAGTAGTCATAAATGGAGCTTAATTATAAAGGTAAAACTGTCTCCAACCAGTTTTATTTTGGCCATTTCCTTTTCAAAATGTCAGCTGTTTTCCTCCAAGATTTTTCACCAAAACAATGATCACAAGTGCTGTAATATATAATACTTCACAAGCATAAAATAAGCCAGACATACTCTCATATTTCTTTGGTGTATTTTGGTTGGTAAAACTTACCAGCATTAAATGTGAAATTTAAGGAGGAGTTAATTCCTTGCCTAGAATCATTTCTTCTCTCTCAGATTCATAAGTAACCTTTTATTTTTACAAAGCTACGTATAACTTCCACATTATAGTCAGGGACCTGAGGTGTAACTTGCTAAGTGAACCCCAAGGTTATTTTATCTTACAAAAGAAACCTAAACCAAACTAAGGGCCTTACAGTTTTATGGTTAGACTGAATCAAAAGCTATAACCTCAATTTTTCCAAAAACAGCTTCTGACTGCAAAAGTAAGTCATACAGTTGTTAGGTATGAAATAGCACTGATCAGGAAATGCATCTTCACAGATTGTATTTCCTTCAGAAAAGACTTTTCTACTTTTAATATAAATTAAGCCATAACAGTTTCATGCTGTGGAAAGAGGGTGAAAAGGTTCATTTTAAGAGATTATGTAATGTGAACTTTCACAGTTACTGTGAAATGTCTAACTTTGCCAGTGCTTCAGCAAGTTTTTCTGGGGGGGTGATGGGGAGGGGTAGTATTGGTTTTAGGGGTTTTAAATCTGTGAAATTTGGAGAGGGGACAGTTGTTGGCTCTGGTATTTACTAGTTTTGTAGTAATGTTTTGCTACCCTGACTTTTCTTACTGGTTTTTATGCCCACGGTCCGAGGGGACTGTTGTTGTTTGGGGTGTCTGCGGAATAGCGTCTTGTCTGTTTGTATAGGCAGTCAGTGTGTGTGACACATGTGTCCTTTCAGTCCGGAAGCCCACTGTGTGACAATGGCGTGGGGTGTGGCTGGGAGGTGGGGTGCTGAAGCTTGAAGAGCATTTCTTTGCTGATTCATAACAGTATTTCCCATCTTTTGCCTGCAGGCAGGGAAAGTGTACAGTATTTATTTTGTTTCTGTTTTACTTTAAATTTGTAAGTCTTTAAGTAGCTTACATTGATTATTATAGGGAAGGACAAGTGACTTGTTTAAAGTTGTATTTAGTATTCTTTCCAATTTCTGTATTTTAAAATATTGAAATTAAAATTGTATTACTTCTGTTTTGATTTTTTTTTAGCACTCAGTGTATTTTTTGCCCATTGTTTGAAAGTATAAATGTTGAAAATTGTATAAAATGCGTCCTTGAAAGAAAAAGAATCTGAATTCTATCTACAATTCTGACTTTCTGCTCCCTTTTTCTGCTTACTGAATCGTGGGAGATTATTTAAGAATGTGAATCACTGGGTTCAGCATCTGCTCCTTACTACTTCTGAAGACTTTAATGTGAAAAGTAACATGTTCTATTTTGTTAGTATTGCTGGGGATGAGTGAGGGAAGAATACAAAAGTGTAATTGGCAAGATGAGGCTGAAATGTAGAAATGGACGTGGGCACTTACTGATGAACGCTTCAGACCATTCACAGTCCCCTACCCGGGCATCCCACAAATGTTTCCTAACCACCTGCAGTAAGGCAGGCACTGTTCTAGCATCAGTGCTGCGGGCGTGAGCAAAACCAAGTCCCAGGCCTCAAGCAGCCTGTGTGAGACATGAAAGGCAAGGGACAGCCAGAGGCTGTGGTGGCCTGGCTGGCTGGTGAAGGTAGGAATGTAAGTGCTCTGTGAGGAGGATGAGCTCGGTTTTGGATCCAGGGTCTGAGAGACAAGTCAGGGATGATAAGGACCAGGAAAAAGATCTGGCCTTTTGAGGAGATGAGAAAGGAACTATGGACCAAGAAGGAAGGAGCCCTATAGGCATCACTTCCAGGGCAGAAGAGAAGCCTGGGAAGGAGACAAGTGGGCAGGAAGTCTGTTCCCAAGGAGGAACTGAGCTCAGAGTCCCAGAAACCAGGTGACCAGAAGGACCAAAGACCATACATACCCTCCCTCCCCCTAATACCTGCAAAAGAACAGTGACACCAGAGCATGAACACCTAAACACACCTTGACAGCTGCTTCCACCACTAGAAAGGTATCACCAAAAGCAGTTTGCATCTCCTCCGTCTGCTTTCATGAAATTGATTGGCACCTAAATCTGAACAAATCTGTTCCATTTGTGAAAATCCATATACTACTTGTAAATCTGTGGGTGGTTTGCCCTTCCTGAAGCTCACGTGTTAATGAAACAATGCAGGACCTGCCCTCCTTAGACTCTTAAACCGGTATTTGTGGTTCCACAACAGTGAGATGGCATGAGATACCATCACTGTGGGATGCTGATGATAAACACCAATGATTTTCGAGTAGGATCAAGTGCTATGTTACAGACACGATTTGAAACAGGAGCCCTTACTATATTTCATTCCATTTGAGTACTTACTATGTGCAAGGATATTTTTCTTTCTTTCTCACAATAACCCAACAAGGCAGGTAACATTTCTCATTCTACAGATGCAGCTGAGGCTCAGGGAAAATGACACTTCCAGGTTCACATGAATATAGACATTTTCAATCTCTCTAACTCTAAAGACTATTCTAAACGGGTTTTCTCTAAGTATTTTTAATTATATACTTTTAATTCTTAAGAAGGAATAGATGGTCCTTAGGAATGGTTTGTGTTCTAAAAATTTCTTTCCAGGCAAAACCCTCTTTGGATT